AAATCATCATCTCTGAATACTATAAAATCCTCTATGCACATATACTGGAAAATGTTGAAGAAATTGACAATTGTTAGAAACCCACAACGTTCTTAGCCATAATTAGGAAGACATATAACTCCTGAATATACCAATATCAAGTAACTAAATTGAAGCAGCAATAAAATATCTTCCAATGAATAAAAGTTCTAGACTAAAGATTTCACAGTCAAATTTTACTATACCTACAAAGAGAAATTGGTGCCTATACTACGGAAAATATTTCATACCACCAAGAAGGAAGTAATCCTCCCAATTCATTGTGTGAATCCAGTGTCACCTTGATACAAAATCCAGGACAAGACACAACAAAAAAAGACCAATATCTCTTATCAATACAGATGTGCAATTCTCGGGAAAAATTCTAGGAAAGTGAATTCAGCTGCGCATTAAAAAGATAATTCACTATAACTAAGTGTGCTTCATCTCAAAGGTGCAAAGATGGTTCAACATACACAAATCTGTAAGTGTGATTCACCACATAAACAGAAGCAAAACCAAAGACCACCTCAATAGATGAAGAGAAAGCATTTGACAAAATTCAGCATACTTTTATGGTAGGAACACTTAACGAAATAGGCATGGGTGGAATATACTTCAAACTTACAAAGGCCAAATGCAAAAAACTCACAGCCAACATAATGCAGAATGGAGAAAAATTGAAAGCATTCATACTTATATCTGGAACTAGAGAAGATTTCCCGTTGTCATTACTTCTATTCAATATGGTGCTGGAAATCCTTACCATAACAATCAGACAAGAGGAGGAATTTAAGTGTATCCAAACAGGAAAAAGAGGGGGTCAAATTATTACTCTTTGCTGGTGATGTGATCTTATGTCTTGAAAACTCCAAAGATTCTGCCAAAAGACTCCTGAAATTGATACATAAATTTAGCAGTCTCAGATTGCATAGTCAAGGTACACAAATTAATAGAATTCCTGTACACCAACAACAAGTTCAACTGAGAGTCAAATCAAAGACACAATGCCTTTCACAGTATCAACAAAGTCAAGAGAATACCTGGGAATATAGTTAAACAAGGAAGTAAAAGACCTCTACAGGGGGAACCATGAGGTACCACGGAAGGAAATTACAGAGGATGCAAACAAATGGAAAACTATATCATTTTCATGAATCAGCAGAATCAATATTATTAAAGTGTACTACCCAAAGTGATCTATAGGTTCAATGCAATCACCATTAACATACCAGCATTATTTTTCACAGAGCTAAAATAAATAATTCTACTCTTCACATACAACCAGAACAGAACCCAAATAGCCAAAACAACCTTAAGCACAAAGGCAAATTGGGAAACATCACTTTACCAGACTTTAAACTATACTGCAAGGCTATGCTGACCAAAATAGCATGGTGCTGGTACAAGAACCGAAACATAGACCAATGGATCAGAATGGAAAACCCAGATGTAAAACCATCCTCATGTTGTCATCTCACCTTTGACAAAGCAGATACTAACCTACAGTGGAGAAAAGAATTCCTAGTCAATAAATGATGCTGGGAAATTGGATAGACACATTTAGAAGATTGAAACAGGATCTGCCCCTCTCACCACTCAAAAAATGTAAACAGACTTAAATCTCAGGCCATAAGAATTTTAGAAGAAAATGTTGGAAAAACTTTTATAGATATTGGCTTATGTAAAGAATTTATGGAGAAAATCCCAAACAATCATAGCCATGACAAAATTAACAAGTAGGACCTTATTAAATTAAAAAGCTTCTGCACAGCTGCACAATCAATAGAATGAACAGACAACCTACAGAATGGGAGAAAGTATTTGCATTCTGTACATCTGATAAAGGTCTGATAACCAGAATCCATAAAGAACTCAAGTAAATCAGAAGATCGTTCAATCCTATAAAAAGATGGGCAAAAGACACAACCAGGTTATCAAAAGAAAATAGACTAATAGTCAACATCTCCAGTCATCAAGGAAATGCAGATCAAAACTACAGTGAGGTATCAACTAACCCCAGAGAGAATGGCTGTTACCAAAAAACCCCCAAACAACAGATGCTTTGGCAATCTTGGTGATACTGCAAACTAGTATAATCCCTAAGGAACGTCTTATGTAGGTATCTCAAAGAACTAAAAGTAGACCTACAATTTGGTCTAGCAATCCCACTACTAGGTGGTTACCCAAAGGAAAAAGTCATTTTATAAAGAAGACACAGGCACTCAACTGTTTATTGGCAAACAGTTCACAAAGACAGACATGTGTAACGATCTCAAGTGCCTGTCAATACATGAGTAGATTCATAAAAGGAGCTATATGTATGCCATGGAGTACTAATCATCCATTAAAATAGGTGAACTAATTGATATGTCTGGTAGCATCATGGATGAAATGGGAGATTATTCTTCTAAGCAAAGTATTGTGAGAATGGAAC